TGAACGTTGATATTTTTTTGTTTTGATAGATAGATAGATTCAATATTTGTTTCTCTCTCTCTCTCTCTCTCTCTCTCTCTCTCTCTCTCTCTCTCTCTCTCTCTCTCTCTCTCTCTCTCTGTTGTTGTGTGTGTGTTTTCAAGTTGATACGAATTTGTTTGAGTTTACGTTGACTTAGTCTTGTTGGTTTTTGCTTTTTGCAGCCGTTTTGTGTTTTCATTGATGTTAATTTATTGGCGTGATTATTTATACTATGTTTGTTTATTATAAATAAATTCTTCAAGTGTTTTTGGAAGCTTTCATTAAAATTAATGTCATGTAATGTGTGTGTGTGTCGTGTAGGTAAATGATGTGCCAAGTGGAGTCAGTATCTTTCATGTTGTTGTTGTTTTGTTGTTAAAAGTTGCGTGTGTCTCATGTTGTGTAAGGCCTGCTTGTAATTGTACTGTAATTATATAATACGTGATTGCAGTGTCGTATTTATTTTTGCATGGTTGTGTTTTTGTTACATTGTGTTATTGCTACGTTGTTATGTTGTATTGTTGTCATGTAGTGCTCTTGTTGTCACGTTAAATTGCTGCTACTTTACATTGGGTGGTCCGTTAATTTATTCGTCTGGTTGGAGTCTTTCGTGGACTGTTTTTACTTTTTGAATCTGTCCAGTCGATTTTATTAAACATCGGTTATCTTGTAAATGTGAGATGATTATTTTATATTTTCTTATTTCATATTTTAAAGTTGTTTGATTCAACAATTTTTATCGAAAAATTTTATAAAAAATTGATTAAATTAAAATTCTTACGATCAGACATGAATGTATGGGCGAGTTTAAACAATATCAATAATAAACTAAATAATGATTAGTATTACTCTTAATTAATGAATAAGATAATTATCATAATTAATTGATTTATTTATTATTTATTATTTCCTGTCTCGAATTCTTTTATTATATTTGAAATTCTAATGAACCAAAATGATATTTTGCCGTATTTAGAGAAACTGAAAAACTCTTCTGCATTAAATTAATTTAATAATTGAAAATGCATTCGTAGAATAGAATAGATAAATGTAAGAAGTTTTGGAAACGAATGACTTGCATGCTAACGTCAAACAGTGGAATAAATGGAAAGAGGAAAGAAATATGGGAGTGAAAGTTACGAGAAATAATGAGAGGGTGTGGATGGAAAAACAATTATAAGAAGCGATGCCGAAGTTGAAATGAATCAACAATCAACGTACGTGAGGAGAAGTTGGGAGTGAAAGGGAATTAGAGACGTGAGATGTTGAAAACGAAATAAATAAAAGATGAAAGAAGGAGAAAGTGCTGTGAGGTGCATGATGATAACGATGATGACGATGAAGAAGAAGATGATGATGATGATGAAGAAGATGATAATGATGATGATTAAGAAGAAGTAGATGACAATGATGAAGAAGAAAATGATGACGATGATGATGACGAAGAAGATGATGAAGAAGAAGATGATAAAGAAGAAGATGATGAAGAAGAAGATGATGAAGAAGAAGATGATGAAGAAGAAGATGATGAAGAAGAAGATGATGAAGAAGAAGATGATGAAGAAGATGATAATGAAGAAGAAGATGATGAAGAAGAAGATGATGAAGATGATGAAGATGATGATTGTCTGTGAGATGAGAATGTACTTGATGTGGATTGAAACAAGCCTCGATGAAACAATTGATGATAATATAATTCAACAGTGCGGTTCTGATAAACAACATCTTATGAAACCAAACTCTTTCTTGTTCCTTTTTATCGTTCAAAAATGTTTATGACGTCTACACATGCGTCATTCATTATACGCGAGTCAGTGTAGCAACTTTGTGTGCAAAATTTTCTATCTGCGTATGTATATTTGTATGGTATTTTTGTAATTTTTTCATATCACTCATCAAACAGTTGTTTGATGAATTGATCAAATGGAAATATGTCATTTCATCTCTCTCACTCACGTCTTTGTTGTTTGATTTTTTTGATATTATGTAAGTTGCTTATTGTTTGATGTTGTTTCCAAATGTGTTTGATGATGAAGTTTTAGTTTTGATTATGTGGTCCTGTGTTCTCTTGTTGTTCTGCTACGGTTTATACATTGGTCTTGGGTTGTTTCAATGCTGTTGTTAATGAAATCAAAAGACTCTCTCACATCAATTGCTGCATGCCTTTTCTTTCATCGAAAATAACTTACGTAATTGTTATATCATAAAAAAATTAAGTGCTAATATTAGGCGAAACCAACTTGTAACAGAAAAAGATGAGCGTAGTAGGATGAATAAAATATTCCAACAAGATGAAAGTTAACAAATGTTGCCTGAAAATTTTCAGTTGCAAGTTCACTTGTTTTTTTTTTATCTTGTAATATTGTAACACTAACACACGCGTTCGTCTGAAAATAGTTAGCTTCTACGTGCTTGTAAGAAAACTTTGTAATCCCTTCAAATTATTATTAAAATAATTATTTATTTCAATTGAAACTTTTTAATTTTTATTATATCTGGGCTTGTAATATGATAGAAAAGTCAATAATACAAGTACAATAAGTACATATTACGCTTACTTTAAACATACCTTTATTTCTCTTACAAATTATTTGTTAACCATGGACAAGCAAATAACAACATTTGAAAATATTTGTGATGATGGCCTGATCTAACACAAACTGACACACAAAAGCACTTTATTTTCAATTTTAACTTGTCTCAATATTTACTTTCTGATCGTCAAGAAAATGTTAACACATTTTATTTTATAATTTTGTCGATTCGAGCAGATAGCCATGTTGAAGGTTTGGAATGTGGGAATTAAGTGGTGGTGAGAAAGAAGTTAATGTGAACATTATTATTATTATCATTACACTAACGGTGAAACATTAATTTAAAAACTAATAGAAGGTCAATAAGCTGAACAAATACTTCGATGATGATGAGCATGGTAAATACATTGTGCTCGTAGTAAATTCGCAAGATTATAAAATTAAGTTGCTAAATAAACATCTTCATTTTCTTCACAAATTTTTGTTATTCTTATTTGACCGACCAGATTGTTTCTATCATCATTGACGTCATTTCATTTCATTTCACATCTGGGACCCTACGTGCTTAGACCTCTCAAGTTCATGATGCCACCTCACAATTCTAATTAAAAAAACATTTTTTTTCAACTTGAAGTTGACAAATAACTTGATGATTAATTAAACAGCATGCAAAAGTTTATCGCAGGTTTTATAAAATAACCTAGCTAAACCGTAACTGAATCGTAATGCAATGAATGAAATGACTTAGGCAGTAATATAAACTGGTGATTAAATGCTGAGGTCAGGATGAAGATAAAGATGATAACGTGGTGAAACAACATGATTGATACAAGTAGATAAAAAAATATGACGTCATATATCTGATGATGAACGAGAAGTGATATCAATGATAAAATGATCATTATAAGAATGTATGAATGAGATGGTGACTGATGATGAGGAATTTCACTCAATAGGATAGACCATTGTTACTCACTCAATAATAGACTGACTGAGATCAGCAAAGCACGGAGATATTGTCTGCCCTCCGTTCAAAGCATCTCATTACCGATTGATTTAAAAGTCAACTCTGACATTGAAGGCTTTAGAGGCGGCTTGAAACATCATCTTTTCAATAAAACGAAGCACAATTAGCGCCTCTGAAGATAGCTCAATAGAGGCGCTTCACAATTCTACAATGCAATGCAACGCAATGTTAGTTGTCAGCTCATTTTACACCACCATCACTGTTTTAACGAAGACTCAACTCCATCTCTCAATTTTTTTTGTTTGCTTTCCGTTTTTCCATTTCACTTCATTACAGTACCACAACCCGTTTCCAACATTTTATGGCATTTTCTATCTTGTTGATCTCTGTACAAACGTTCAACTAACATTGCACTGCTATTAATACATCATCGCCAGGGCTGTCGCTTGGTGTGTATTTTATATTAATTAAACTTTCTAGTCTGCAAAGTCTTTCGAAGTAACGTGGGAGCACCGTGATATGTAACGAATGATGTGATAAATTATAAACTGGCTGCACTCTCCGACAGATGCACATGCAACTGCTACCAACTTCACACATCAACACATAATGTGATAGTTCAAGAACGTAAATTTGTTTCTCAACTCAGTTGTTTATTATTTATATTTAAAGGGAGCAAAAGCAAACTTGGTGGCATAGACTCGGGTGCATTGGAATGGGGCATTAACACAAACATAAAAACAGTCACACATACTTACAATTACATACACATACAAACAAACAGATAAACAAGCATGAAAACAAACAGACATACAAATAAACCACATACATACATATAAACACGTAAACAAACGTGCAAAAACACATATATGCAAACACTTACATGTATAAAAAAACACATCAAACACATAACACACACTCTACGCTATAATGAATATTTTCACACGCAAGCACACACGCATACACAAACGACATGCACTTTACACATTCATATATACCGTTATTACAACGTGTGTCTGGTTTATAAATGGCTGGATGAAAAGAATTATTCAAAAGAGTCTCCTTTGATTATTATTTACCATGCATTTTTACCTCAAAGTATCAAACTGTATCATGTTTTTTGTTTGCTTTTCTGCGTGTGTGTGTTCTGCGTGTGTGTACGTACGTGTATATGAGCGTATAAACACGGCGAAAATTTGTTTCTATATAAATTTGAAGTGCATATGGTTATGATGTGTCATTAACGCACAGATGATTTTCTTTGCTTAAATGGTTTGTAACTGCGTGTGTTCGTTATGCCATCCGTTTGCAAGTTCGTGTGATCTGATTCTGTGATGTTGCTTGAAAGACGTGTCCCTGTGGCTTCAGTTTCATGAAGTTGCACACTGAATGTACGTGCTCCACGCAATTTTTGGGCAACTTTAAATGCAATCTTTCTTGAGTTAGTTTTAAATTTTATATGCTTGAACGTATTACCGATGCTGATACCGATACCAGGCAACAATGTTGGCCTGTATTCCCATGCCTATGTATCAAGCTTTGTACGCACTTCACTAATTTTTAATGGAAACATCAATCAAGTTTCTGAAGTATTTCCCCTATACAACAAACAGTTTCTTTATAGTATTGAAACATTTTTTAACGTCATATAGAAACATCTTCAATATTTAACAGCAGGTTCAACTCATCTAAGCATATAAGCATTGAATGTTTACGCAACATAAAGCACTCTAAATGCTGACAAAAAAGTAACTTTGAGTTAAACTTTCACCTTCACGTGATGACCATCATCACAACCACCACAACCACCACCATCCAACAGATTCACATGTGTCAGACGGAATATGATTGGTTGCCGGTCAACTTGCCGTGGATGGCTGTCTTCAAGTTGGAACCTTCGCTGCGTAGGAGGCATCATTGCAACAACATCATCACAAAAGTGAGTGCTCATGTGCGTGTATTCGCATGTATGTTTGCGTGCGTGTGCATGTCTGCGTGCGTGTGTACATGCCTGCGTGCGTGTGTACATGTCTGCGTGCGTGTGTGTGCAATGCGTTTGTGTGTAAATTTGGGTTTACGTTCACGCATAGGTGTGTGTAAAAGTAACGATGTGTCGTCTCATGGTGTTCAAACTTTTCCGGCCGACGATCTGTAAGAAAGAAGTTGAAGAGATGTGTTGGTTCCCGTTGTAGGGGAAGATTTGTTAGACGTAAGAATTTAAAAATTATGACTCACGAAGACAGCTGCACGTGAGATGCAGACCTCGTGATTGGCCGCAACAAAACGCAATTAAACACCTTTGCGCCTGGAAGATAAAATTTTATTAGTTATTTTCATAGCATGTGTGCAGTTTGTAGGTAGTCGAAGGTGTGAAATTTGTTAATAATTAGAATTCATAGTTCTTTCACGTTGGGTGTCCCAGAGTGACTTCAAGTTTTTAAAATAAATATTTAATTTTCTTCTAATGAAACACGCATACCTATATACATGACATATACATGACACCCATACATACATATACATGACAAACAGACATACATCATATGCAAACACAGTTGCTAATGCAAATGCATGCGTGCATTTAATACATAAAAATGCACAGAGAAAACGAAATGATTTATGATATTGAGGCTTATTTACCGCAAATAGTGATAAAAATATTGATGTGTATATATTAATACAAATGTACTTATGTATATATACAAGTATGCATGCATGCTTTCCTTATGTAGGCACAAACGTGTTGTTAATCACATGATTGATTGCGATAAAAACATCGTTCTGATTTTTGTTGGAATTTAAAAATAGCTTCACATCATAACACCCGCTGGCATGGCGTATGTGGAATGTTCGAGCGAATGTTGTTTGTGCATGTTGGTGTCAAGTTGTGGATAGGGTGCATGCATATCACGTTAAACGTTTGTGAAGCTTGAAGAGTGCATTCCTTTCCGTCAAGATCGTCCATCATTCCGAAGTTTAGGAAGTTCAAATTTGAGATTAATTGGTGAACGCGGTTGTAAAACAAACTTATCAGTGCGAGCGAACAACGTCTGACTGAATAGCGGGAGTTCTGCAGACGAGAACACTTCAATGCTAAACAAACCACTTGACTGAAGAAACAATTAAACAACGCTGTAAAACCGTACGCTTAGAAATTAACGAATGATTAATGTGGCTAAGCAAGAGATTTCTAAAGCATAAAATTAAATTGCTCGAAACATTATTGCATGTAGAATATTTTGAATCTGATTTACACCAGCCATCAATTGATGTCTACTTTTGCTATCAAAGAAACTTTAACATTGAAAGCACTTTTGAAACCAATTTAAACTATTAGATTTAACGTTTGCAAAGCTTTTGTTCAAAGTAAATATTTTTTTTATTTCCAATCGTTCGTTTACTGGCGTTGTTTAGCCAATTTTTTCTGCCTTTGAAACTAAAATCATTTGAAAATGTTTCCATAACTTCATCACAGATAAGTAAAATTAAATTAAAAAATTACTTGAAAGGCAAAGCTGGCCATCACGAATGGAGCGACGGCTGTCATATTTGACGTGAAGCACGATAAAAATTATTCAAAATTGGTTAGCTGCAAGTAGTTTATTCATTTGCGTTTTATCTCTTCCTGATCATTAACGTTACAAATTTTCAGCTCAACAAAAAGCACCGCATCCTGCTAACCAGGCCAGTGCTGGTCGTCAGTGGCAGAGCATCGGAGAAGCTGCAACGAGTTCTCTTCAACTACCAGGCTGCTATGGCCAGCATCAAAGTTTTGCCAGTAAACGTAATCAACTCATCCAACTTTCAATATGTATGTTGTAGAATTCCATCTTTTCTTCAATTACTTACTTACTTACTTACTAGCTCGCTCACTCATTCACAAATTCGTTTCATTAGATCCCATCAGAGAAACACCTTCTTCCTCCACTTCCTCTCCCTCCTTCCTCTTCCGAAACCCCCTCCATGGTCAGTTACAAGACGTCCATCATATCATCCGTCTGCATCGTCTGCCTGTCGCTCTTCATCGTCCTTCTTCTCTTCATCAAAGTTTGTTCACGTTTCGTCCCAATTCACTGTTGATCAAAGTTTGTTTACGTTTCGTCTCAATTCACTGTACAAATTTTGTTAAATTGATTTCACGACTGCAAAATTACAGACAAAATATATGCAAGACATATCAGTTAATTAAATGAATTAATTTATTTTTTTCCAAACAGATAAGAAAACAGAGAAACTTGACGGTTAGTAAAATGTTTACAGCCAGCCATACTTTAATTTATTGATTCATTAATTATTAGTTAACTTGTTATTAATATCCATCTATGTGGGAAATATATCATAAAGTTTTCATTTGATTTACGCAACTCATGTCCGTTCATGCGACCTATAAACTTAATTATGCAAGATGAATTTTTGTTTTTCAGCTCCTCAAAAGGAACCAGCCAATTAAAAAAGTGCTCGAACAAATGAAGGTGATGACATACATGGAGCTGAACAGCACGCATTGTAGCAACAACACCAACAGCAACAACAACCACACTGACATGCAACAGCATTCAACACACAGCTGCATACATCAACAGACCGCAAAAGTGCGTCAACACATCAATGCTCGTTACGACAAGCCCCATCATCTCAACAACAATTATTGTAACCAAAACCAGTCCAGCAAATTTAGCAACATCATCATTGAGAAACACTGCATAATTTGCTATGAAGACTATAAAAAAGATGATGTATGTTATCTATACTGTTACTATTTGCTGTTACTGTATACAGCTATATTTTGAAATTTTAAAAATAATTAAAAAAGTATTTTATCAAATGTTATACACGATGATACACCATACAACACAGCTGATACGCCTACTGCCTTGCTTCCACATTTTCCACAAGAGGTGCGTCGACCGGTGGCTCATATTGAAGAAAACATGTCCTCTCTGTCTCTTCCACGTCCTCACAGGTTTATATTTCTCAACTTGCCATATACATTGCTGGTATATCGTTTAGGTGTAACTTTCATGTCCTAAGGTAACATTGAAGCAAATACTTAATTCAGGATTTATAATCTTGATACTCCATTTTATTTCGTTTTGTTTGAGTAAACTTGGTAAAGGCACAATTGTAAAACTAACTACATTCGAATTCTGATTTTTCGTTGACTGAACGGTTGAACATATCCATCCTATCACCGCATGTTGAAGACCAATTACATCTTTCGAAATCAGCTGTTCTATCAAAAATTAAAAATACTCCGCGTAGATGCAGGCAGTGATCAGAACAAGACAACAACAACAACCTCAATTGCAACAGCAACCAGATCAACCACGTTGACAACTATAACATCTGCATTTTCACCGGAACATCATCCAATGAGGATGGTGCACCAAGACATCCATAATGAACCAGCAAACATTTCAATCAATCTCTTTTCTCATTCGTCTTCATCACACTTAACAAAAACTTTAAAAGACAACAGCGCTCGTCAAAACGTCAATCCAACTTCACACACGTCTTTTGCAGGCGACCTGAAATCTCTGCACGACAACACGACGCACACCGCAGTACAGTCATCATCTACGACAGCCAAAATTGCTGGCTTCATCTCAAAGAGTCGCTCTGAGAGCAAATTTGTTAAAATGGAGAAAAAATCTCCAAGAAGAACTTTTTTAATCTCACCCTTAACTCTGCAAAAATCATCACTGCCTTCAATTTTGTTATCATCATCATCGTCGTCGTCATCATCGTTGCCGCCCGAAGCAATACAATCATTATCAAATAAATTGAATTCCAAGGTTTTACTTTTAGACGCTGGCACGTCGAATACGTTTTTAAATTCGTCATCATCGTCACCATCATCGTCATCATCTCTTGCTGTTTGTGTTCCGTCCATGAACACGCTGAAATTGTCTTCTTCATCGTTATCATCGTCATCGCCATCACTGCTCGAACCACTTCAATCATCTGACCACATCTTCGATAATCATCACCATTAGATATCCATCATCTTGTAGATATCTATCATCTTGTCAACATCATCTCCAGAACTTACTACTATCGTAGTCTGCATTATCATTACTGGCGACGTTCATCACCGTCATCATCCCATCTTACCATTAATCGCCATCATCATTGGGTGTGATTGCAAAGTAGATGTAAACTAGCGTGCCAGAGCTCACCTATAAATGTTCAATATCTAGTCTTACAATTTTGTAACTTTGACCTATTTTAAATAATTTTGTTCACAAGTGCAATACATGTACAGAGCTAAACTTTTAATTTATCGCTGAAAATAATTTGTAAAAATAACTGAGTAACGAAGACTTTTTTACTTGTTTTATAATACCGAAATGAAATAAAAATCATACATCTGGAATGGATAGTGTTTATTAAATAAAAACTTCAAAAGTTATCCACACGCATCATATTCTTCAATTTACAAATCAAATAATATCATTAAAATACGAAATTAAGGCGAGTAGAAATGTCGGGCCACACAAGGCTTACCTTACCTTCAAATTGTCATTCATGTCATCATTATTCTCATCACCATCATCACATCATCGTCCAATTATCACATCACATCAAATTATCATCACATCATCATCACATTATTCCATCACATCATTGTCTCATTATCCCATCACATCATCATCACATCACATTATCAGACAGCAGCACTTGTTCTCTGAGCGGCTGACTCTTTTGGAATCCTGATGGTACTTCTGATCTTTTCACCTTCGAAAAATGAAATTTACTTGAAAGATGATTTGCTTATTAATTTATTAAAAAAATTTAAGCTAAATGAAACGTTTTGATGTTTTTATTTATGTAATAATTTACAATAAAAAATCATCTATCTAGGAATGTGTAAAAGTTAGAAGTGCTGGAGAACGAATAGAAATATTAATATAAATAAAAGTGAAGAGCTTGAGACTTAAAATTATGCTGGGGATGAAAAAAAAAATTTAAATCTACATGCATCAATGGAATAAATTAATAAGAAAGTATTTTAAATAAACGATTTGAATAAAGTGTTTAAAATTTAGATAAAATTACATAATGGAAGAAAAAAAGTGAATAAAAGTGAACATGAATGAGCTTCAAAAAACAATTTGAACATTTCGATTTCGGGTCTGATCAGAGATTATGATGTCAGATTTAATCACATCAATATTTTGAAATAACAATATTAATATTCATCTACCTTTCCTACATACCAATGTGCAATCAAGTGCGTTAAAGGATAAATACATATCTAGCCACTAACCAACACCTATAAATAAACTAGACTTGTACAGAAAGAGGCATTTTATGATAATTTCTTATTATTATTTTCTATCCAGCAAACAAACAAACACAAACAAACAAACAAACATGAGCAAGAAAACATTCATGGAACCTTTTGTGTTGTAGGTAACGAAAGCCAGTCTGTCTTCCTTTACACTCACCTCTTCAGTGTCAGCTGACGATGTTCCTGAAAATTGTTGTAATTGTTGTAAAATGTTATGTCATTAGATATCCATTGGATCTTGCATTGATATACAGCTTCCTTAACAATAAAATTGTTGAATGGCACTCCAAGATCGAGGTGAAAATACAAAATTATGAGACATTGTGAAAGTACAGTTAATATTTATTCTTATAAAAAAACAATTTTTTTGTGAAATTATCATATCTTTCATTGAACCAGTAGAATTTAACTGGATGAACAATTAACTGCGAAAATTTTTAAAACATTATGTTACAAAATTATAAAATTTTAACTCACCACCCAGACCAGATCTTCTAACTGAGATCAGTGCTTCAATGAGGTTGTCTATTAACATTGCCTGCAAAGTTATTTGTCACGAATCATAAATACACGATCAATTGAATCGTTAATAATGATAGTTATATGAATAATGAGCGAGTAAGAAGCAGACATTGCAGAGTATGGAGAACAACATGCATGCAATGCACACACAAAGGAATAAATATGAAAACTGCTGACAGTCAATAGTGTGCCACTTGTTCTATGAAGCAATACAAATGGAAATAGTAAACTCCTAACCGATTTAGAAAATATCTGAAGCAGTTTGGTTACACTTTGATTGTTCTCAAGGAAAGGAAAGTGAAGAAAGAGGCATGGGAGAACGTTTGGTCCTTCCTTTGTCGGTTCTGCAAACTGCCAGGATAGCTTGGTGAAGGGAACCCTCAGCAAGACAATCTGCATCAACCAGATCATTGCAAAATCAATCATTGCATAGATGGTTGAATGGCTGGTTGGCAATTACTTATTTACAGGTAAGCTATTATTGTAGAACAATTCTTCAAGCAATAACTTAAAGACCAATCCATTGCACCAAAAAAATAGCCAAGCTAATCAGACTAATTGAAATAAAAATATAAAAAATAATGCAGACCTCATCAGTGATGCAAACAATGGTGACACCCGACAAACTGACAGCCACCCAAACTGGATCATCAACTTTCTTGCCTGGATGTTCTATTTGTCCTCGAAAATAAGCAGCACTGTTGATACATGCATGCATAGACTCATGTGAGTGTGTGCGTGTGTAATTGTTCAAATGTTCATGCTTGTTAGTGCATGCATGAATGTGTGTATGATTGTTGCTGCTAACATACATGTTCCAAATTCTTCTAAACTATAACAAATACTCACCCATAAGTAAACAATGAGGAAACCTCAAGGTATTTCATGTAAAGTTCAGAAAGATTGAGATTCTCATAAGAAGCCAGCTCCGATTGGTACCTGTTGAAGAGGAGGAATTCGGGGTTCTGGTCTCGTCTGAACAACAAATTACGCTTGCATTGTGAACTAGGCAGGAATTCTTTCATGTTATCTCTTTAGGGGTAAAAAAATTTTTTGGAACTTCACATTTGAAATTTAAAGATGTATTAAAAAATAAGTCTAAGAGAAGAATAAGGTGACTTTATTGCAGTAATTGAAACTAAGTAATTGGACGTAGTAACAAACAGCTCTCCCTTGCTTATGCGAGCCTGCAACATTAGGGCAGGCTCATCAGAAAAGTAGTTGAAAGAATATATGGTGCATGAAACAGATGCAGCAAACCTGAAACCACGGCAATTTTCCCAGAATTACCAGCTTGATATTAACAGCAGATCTATAAACAGGACTAACTGTAAAAGAGTAGTGGATTTGTATAACAAACAAACAAAATAACTAGTAAATAAAAACTTGAAAAAGGCCGGTGTAGCAAAGTTTGTAGGGAGAGTTTCTGCACTTTCCAGTTTTTCCAGTTTAAAGATGTGAGTGTGTAGAGCGGCATATTTGATGTAATCCTGCTCAGATGACAGAGGCAACCTACCATCTGTTACGTTCTTCTTCGTCTCATGGAATAAAAACTTCAACAATCTCTCATCTTGTATCTGTGTGTAGATTGAGGAGTTCATTCCTAATTACTAACAATAACTTCATCTATTATATATATATATTATGGAACATTCTCATTGCTAACATTATATTTTACATAATGTTTAAACCTTGAGTTATTTTTCATTTAAACTAATGGTAATTTAATATAAAACAAGAAAAAATTCAGCTTCATTTCTGAAATCGAGTGCTGTCACATCACAAAAGCACATAATAACATTCAACAATTAAATTGAGAATTGTATTTGAACTCATATGATGCAACTGAACAAGTTTGAAATCAATTTTTGAAGCAACTTTTATGAACAAGTAAAACATACATTTGATTACATATATTGAATGATAAACATAAAACTTTTTATTGAACATGTTTAACATATTGAATGATAGGTGTTACAATGTATGTAGTTATATGTAAAAATATGTACATTACTAAATAAAAGGTTAAAGGTTAATCTCTCTCTTTTGCATTTGCTTCAGAGGTTTCAACGACAAACACACACAGCATATATGAATACGTGTGCAAACCACACATCATGCACATTGCATATGATAGACGTGGATCTCTTTGTATTCGAACCCAGCCATTGCAATAGCAAAACCAGGCGCCTTTAACCATTGAGCCATCATAAATATATATGATTGTTGTTATATGCATTAGGCTACAGAGGAGCTTAAAAAGGAATGGGAAACCTGCAGTTCCAGTTTTGGTGACACGTACACATTCCTTCTGAACATGATGATTGGTTCATCTGGTCAGAAACAAAGTTTATTTGCTCAGTTAACAATTTAAGAATCAAACCAACCTTTCAAACATTATAATAAAACAAATATTTTTTTTATGTTCATGATTGATAAATTTTTTTAAAAAGATTTTTTGATTGTTTTAAAACATTTAAATAACAATTTTCTTTCAAAAAAATTAATTAAATTTCAATCCTAAAAAAATTGTATGAATAATAAAGATAATTAAAGTATAAGGTTATGGAGAAAAACAAAGTTTATATAATGTAGTGAATAAGATAAGAATGTGAATGCATGTAATGGATTGCTGGAAGACCTCTTTGCCTGGCTTCTTCACTGCAGTGTACGTACTTCTCGAGCAACTCCTCCCAGAAACACACAAGTTTAAATGGAACATGGTTTGGCTTCAACTGAAGTTCTATGAGAGGTGACAGAAATAAATTCAATTAAAAAAGTTTAATGAAATGCTGGATTATTTATTGAGATCTTGAAATAAAACTCAGAAATAAGGTATCAAACAAAAATATATTAAATGCAAATGCTGGCAAATCAATAATTAATTGAAATGAAGAAAGCTAACCAAGGAGATCTGAAACGAGCCAGAGAGAGAAGACCTCTTTAGCTTGCTCCAAAACTTCTGCCTGTAGGTTCAATTCTTTGGCAACATATTCAAACAAAATATTGGCCTCCATGTTCTGACCATCCTGAATCTTCAACATTATGCCAGAGTTGTCATGGAAATAGACCACAATCTCAATTGCTGATTGTGATAAGATTAGCATTATTAGACATTAAATAAGAACATTAGAGACAAATTTAATAAAAAAAATCAATCATATTGACATCATAACAATAATTGAATAAATTATGGAAATTTTTTTTACATTAATGATTAACATTATAAAATTCAATAAAATTAAATAAGCTAGGTAGATAAGCTGGTAGATTTTGATTGATTTAAAAAAGTTGTGATTTAAGTTAAAAAGCTAGTAGTAGATTAGTGCATTACACTACAGACTACACATTAATATTAATAATTAATATTAATAATTTAAATTAATGTCTGTAGAAGTGTAGAGTGTAGGTAGTGTAGTGTAGTGTAGTGTACTAAGCCCATACATACACATATATACAAACAACGCAGAATAAAAATTTTACTAACGAGTTGAATCGTCCATGATGACCCAAGAAATAAATGGCAACAATTAAATTTGTAATTTTGAACAAAACTTAACGACGATTTATTCGCTTATTTATATCCGTGTAAATATAAACAACTAATAACTAAATGTGAAGGTAAGGAAAAAACAGGGAGGTACCAGGTTAAAAAGAATGAATTTATGTTTATATTCACACATAGACATAGAATATACACATATAGGAAATCAACCAACATTGAGCAGCTAATACCACGGACACCAGGGGGCCGTAATAATTCAGAACTATAATTGTGAATAGCATAGATTAACAAGTGTTTAAATTTTAACTATTTATACGTTGTGCAAAATGATAGACTGTAGTGTTTTTCACAACAAATTAAAATAGCATATCTATAGAATATAAATTCTGAAATTATATTAACGTTAATTAGGATGTGTGAATGTATGTATTCTAATTATATGGTAAAAAAATACAAAAAATTTATTTAATAATACATTATAATAAAAAAATAAAAGCGTCTATTTCAAACAAATTTTTTAAAAACCTAACGATTATATAAATCTACATGGTCAAAAATCACAAAATTATTACGGCATGGTATACGTAAACATAATAAGGAATTTCCTATATATGTTGTTTTTTATATATGTATTCATAGAATAACATGTTATAAATGTTTTATCGTTTCAAATATTGACATTATTTGGTGTAATTTTTTCCAATGAATTACCATTGTTAATTACAATAGTTATTTCTCAATGTGAATTACACGAAATTAAAATGATGCACTTGACCTGAACGCAGACCTATGAGCCATTATATCCTATTTATAAGCTCTCGCCGATTACCCAAACATAAACTACCTGCCAGAAAACCCCCGCACCAATTATGATGGATGTGTGACGTCATTGCTCCATTTGCTTCCGGCAAGGTTTAATGGGAAGAATACAATATGCAAAAGCGTAGCCAAAGAAAAACTTTGCAAAGTTTATTGGGAAGAATGCAATAGGATCGACAGGATATAAAATGTCATGGTTATTTGCTGAATGGGTTTGTCCAAATAAATTTTTTATTATGTATAAAAACCACTGTAATGATGTAAATGCAAAATACCATACGTTGAAATGTGATCAAACTAAATCCTTTGCGATTGAGTTTTTCAGTTTTCGTTTACGGTTGCCAGATACGGTTGTCGGCAAAAGTTTCGAAATAAAAAAGGACTATTTGATTTATGAATAACTTACTAGATGATAACAACCTGTCGCTGCTTTGGTAGATTTTTTTGTGAAATAAATTTGGATATAGATAATGACTCATTTATATAAATTTGTTTCAATGTTTTTGTTGCAGTGATCTCTACCGCCTTTCTTTTTTTTAGCTAATCCTATGCTTTTGACATATTAAGCTTTGTAAAATGGAAGATGCTGTTACTATAAATAAGGGTTAAATTTTTTTGATTTTACTTCAATTTTTTTATTCAATATGTGTATGCGTACGTAAATGTATTTAAACTTTTACTATAAACACTGAAGGATTTTTTCTACGATTTTAAATTCACTTTAAATAACATCTCCGCACTGTAGTATCTGAGACCTGGGCAAATTAGGGCTGTACCGGATTTGACTTTTTCGCAACCGGTTGAGTTTAACCTGATTTGCATTTAATTTTTAATAATAAATTACAATAATAACAATAATAATAACTTTTAATTTGATTGAACTTTTAATAATAAATTACAATTATAACAATCAAAACTATTTTTACATGTTCATGAATATTCATGCTATGTGAATTTCTAATGACCACAGGTGTGCATATGTGTGTATGTGTGTGTGTGTGTGTGTGTGTGTGTGTGTGCGAAGATGTCTATCACATGTTTGCGTGTAGATATTTTATATATGAAATTTCTTTATAGCTGTATTGCTCGCACGTGGTTATCATCGTTGTTATCACACACGTGTGTACGTATGCGAATGTGTGTACGTTTCGATCACATGTGTACCTATATATATATATTTACATTGGAATTGATATTTTATCTACGTCGTCTTTTATATTTTTTAGATAGCCGATCTTTTATATTTATTTTTCCTCGAAAAGATTTTGAAAATTTATGGGTCTCTCCATAATAGGCTGTTGGTCTTCTGTGCCGCCGCGTTATTTATGACATCATATAGGTTTCCAGGTTCATAAATTAATTTTTATTAACTTTTCACAGAAAACTGTATTTGTTGCGTGATATTTCTTTCTTCTTCGTATACTGGTAATACTTAACTTTTTAAATAGAATGACTTTGAATGGGATAGCAGCTTCTTGCCATTAAAATCAAAATTCATTACAAGCGCAAATTCGATGATCACTTCAAATGCGACTGTTGTGATTGAATCTGTTCATATACCAGGTTTTTCCAATGGGGACTAGATTAGTGTGTTACGAAAATGTTTAAAAATATCTTCTGATTATCCCAACGAAGAAATGCGTCATTTAGATGTGATAAGAACCGGATTTATGGCACCACCGTGTTGGCAGGGTCATTTGTATGGACATCACTTCAGTTATTAATCCAAGCGGTTTTCCAAGGAAAATGATTTCGGAAAGAAGATGAGTTGGCTTTTAAATATCAAATACACCTCCTCAAATAAGCGCAAAACAGGAAAAATTTTAATAAAAATTAAAACTTTTTATCCCTTCAAACGAACGCAAAAAATATAAATTCAAGTATATGGACACATACAAACACCCAGAAATACAAACATACAGACAGACACATACAAACACCATAGAATACAAACATACAAACATAAATACAAACGCACAGATACATATTTAAAAACAAACACATTTACAAATATATAAAAGTGTATGCAAACTCTCAGACACATACACAAACACACAGACACACAATGGGACAGAATTACATACATCACTCACATACACACAGGTACAAACAAACCGACAGATATACAAAATCACACACAACACACATTTAAAAATAGGTTTCAAGAGCTGTGTATCAACACATTTGAATGTTGAAATTGTTGACTTTGGCCAAGGTCTTGATTATAATGCAAAGTTGTTCAAATTTGTTTGCAAAGTTGTTTACAGCATTAATTTTTTTTTATTTTTCTACATTTTATGACAAACTTTTTGTCACTGACTAAACATCCAAAAATTATAATTTTCATGTTAAAAAAATGAAGGAAGTATTTCATGTAAAATGTGAAATATGATATGAGAGTTGTATGCGTAGCTTCAGTGTAGTTGCACACTCAAATAACACAATGAAACATTAAATATCGCAGATTGTTGTTTTGTTGTATTTTTTACTCAACTAGTTTTTTGCGAGGTGTCTAATTATTTTGTGCCTCAAAATTTTGACACGCTCGAGATGTGGCCAGTGTTCAAGTTCTTTTTTTGATAAAGTGAATCAGAAATTGATTGGTTGAGTGTGTGTATGTGTGTGCCAGTGTGTGCGCGTGTGTGCGTGTGTGTTTGTGCATGCGCGTGTGTGTTCATTGTTGTTGGTAATTAATTGATTGGCGAATCAATGTTCCCAATCTTAAGTTGTCAGTTTTGACTTGTTTTTTTTTTTACAGTGATGGGGATGTGTATGTATGGGATGTGTATGTGTGTATGTATTTGTGTGTGTGTGTGTGTGTGTGTGCGTGTATATATATAAATATATATGTTTGGGTATATATGTGTGAGGTATGTGTGTGGTGTGCGTATGTGATTATTCATTTGTTCATGCGCATGATTAGCCAGCAGTTGTGTCTGTCGTTGCTTAGAAAAGTAGAAATTGTTTTTACAATAATCGAGCCTCAAATGTTGTGGTTGCGTTAGTAGGTACACCTGACGATATTTCTGAATTAAGTTTAATTTTGTTTTGTTTCGTTTCATTGGCCCCGCATTAGTCGATCATTAAAAATGTCTCCATGGAACACTACCCCTTCAACGAACTTGGAGTGCAGCGTGCCATGGCAGTTGCCTTCTAGAATTAACTCGGGTAGGTTTTATAAGACGAGTGGATTGTTAAGTGACGTTCAATTTATGTGGATTTATTTTTATACAGATTTCAAACTTTTACTAAAATTATTTCAAAAGAATCTATATATTCTTTTGCAGTACTGTCCCTGCACGTCTATGCTAGTGTTTAGTGCTCTGTACTCAATCTGTTGCACTTTCTCATACGAATTATGTGCAGAAGAAAATTTTTATCACGCTAACAACCGCAATTGAAATAATCAAAATTTTAAGTTTCACCACAAGTGGAAACATGACAACATCGTAATCAACCTCAACCTGAGCGTAAATTATTCAACACTCACGATGTGTTATCAGACACGCGAACAAATGAGGATGAGCTTTGTTCTGAAAATATGTGTAACCCGAAAAAAGTAACCCGGAAGCCATGAATGAAGCGAACAAAAAATTTCAAAATCATTTTATACGTTCCCTTTGTCATAAGGTTATAATGAAAAAAAATTCCATGATGAGAAGGGCATTGCTCGTAAAATGCTGCCGGACCGTCTCCACACTGCAGTTCGTTATTATACAAATATGGAGCGCCATTATGAAGCTGACACACGCGAAAGATGTCAGAGGGTTACGCGATGAATGGCTCGTTCTTGCTTGGTCCGAAATGTTTTTTCTATGCAATGGTATGTACAAAATGGACTTCATAAATGAAGTCAGATAGTCAGGAGTTATTGGTCCTGTATTTTTAACTAAAAACACATCAATTGGACATTTCAAAGCAATATTTCGTGCTGGCGGGCAAATGCACTCCCCTGAAATGTCTCAAATGTAGATTATCAAAGAGAATTGGCCAGTGAGTTCAGTGCGTGTATCTAATCAAATCATTGTTGCTACCTATACCATGATGTTATTGTAATTAATTTATATGTTATACTCATTATTGTTGGATTATTGTTCTAAAATTATTCATCATGATACACGTACCAACAAACATTTTAAAAAATATAAAAATAATAAACATTTGAACAGAACCACATAAACATTCAAATGTTCGAAATAGACAGATATTTCAGACGAACATTTAAAAAAACGAATAAACGAACGAGTAAAAGGAAGCTTGAGAGAGAGAGAGAGAGAGAGAGAGAGAGAGAGAGAGAGAGAGAAAGAGGGAAAGAAACACAGGAAATAAAGCAATGTTGACAAACAAGCAATTTCATCTCATTTCAGCCAATGTGGCACACAATGTGGCACATTTCGAACATTCAAATGTTCGAAATAGACAGATATTTCAGACGAACATTTAAAAAAACGAATAAAGGAACGAGTAAAAGGAAGCTTGAGAGAGAGAGAGAGAGAGAGAGAGAAAGAGGGAAAGAAACACAGGAAATAAAGCAATGTTGACAAACAAGCAATTTCATCTCATTTCAGCCAATGTGGCACACGTCGCCATAACGCATGGCGGCAGAGGCAGAATATGCACGCAGCAGTTCGTCATGCGAGCCATCTGATCTGATCCAACTCGTCAGTCAGAAATAATTATATAAAAATTTTAATCGAAGAGATAAGGTTATGAAATAGAAAGCTCAACATTGCGTCAAATTTTGACATGAATTTTATTTAAATTATTCTGCGGCTGTTTGACATGAGAGAGAGAGGAGAGATTAGATAATTTGAATGTATGCATGTAGGGATATGACGCGAGGTGATGTGAGGTGCATATATCATGTGATGTGATTTGCAAGTATCAAGGGATGTTTTGTATGACGCTGCTGTTTTAATAATTAAAATGAAGATGAATAATTTCTACATAAATCATCCAGTTTTATCATTTATTTGAGCATTTCTTTTTTTTTAATTTTTGAACTTGTTTTCAGCTGCGGATTCAGGCCCCCCCGATGCATGGATGCATCCTCCCACCAGACCACAAAGGAAGAAAATATTGAAATTTTTGTTTTAAATATGGTTATAAAATAAACGGAAGTAACAGAAAATTAGAAAAAAAATTATCTACTTCAGAATTTTGAAATCATCCTCCCATCACAACATTGCCATACGTGTCCATTTAAATGTCATCCCTTTTCCAATATGTGAACGGTTGCGTATCATTTCACATTCAAACACCGGCTTATATTTTTCACTGATATTGTAAAAATTAGTTCCAGTATGTTACTGCAACTGTAGATTTTTTTTATTGTAATTGATCGGTCAGTTGAGCGAGGCAGTGTGTTTGCAGACAACTTTCCAGATTTATTGATGATCGCCGGTGGAAACCCGGAGTCTCTGATTGCTAAGATAAATTTCAAAAACAATTTCCATTTATATTAAGGGTTTCAAAGTGAATCTCAACTTAGACTAGGTTGCTGTTGGATTGTTTTGGTTGCGCCCAATTAATGGAAGATTATAAATCGAACGTTGTGCGCATTGATTGGAATTTTTGATGTTGTTTCTCTCGCGTACTTCTTAAAAAAACTGAAAAACTTTTTACATTTTTATTCGATGCAGCGGATAAACAATTTGAAAAACTTGTTTGAATATGTTGGAAATCAAATGAAAGCATCAAGTAGTTGAGAAATGTGTGGACCTAGTGAAGCATCAAATCGTAAGCGGATAAAATTAGTCGAATGTGTGTGTGATTGCATAAATGTGCATTAGAAGGTATGAATTGAGAAAAAAGTTTCGCGGCATTGAATAAGTTATAAATGTGAAAAACAGAAAAAAAACACAAAACCGCCAAATAAAATCTCTGACATCATAAAAACAGATTAAAAACACGAGAACACTGAAAAGTACTCAGAAAATCTCACATCAAAAATTTTCTTGCTTCCAATGGCAATGTTTCAAATAACATTTTGTATAAAAAATACATATAAAATGTTTAACTGAATGCATCATAACAAAATTTAAAAAAATTATTGCAAAATTTCCATACAATATTCTCAACTTTTAAAATTTTAATTTTTCCACCGAATATTATTTTTAGTTTACTCAAATATTATTTGATAAGTAAAATTGTACAAAATAATTTAATCGGTCCTTTAAATTTATATGACAAAACGAGGCATGAATTACGTGAGCGATGGATAGTAAAACTTCGTCTTTCGTTTGAATCTTGTTGACAGAGGAGACAAACATTCAGTCATTTTTCAATGATCATTCCTAGCTATAAAGACAACTTGATTGAGATTAATTTTCTGTATTATTTGTTCATCTTCCTAATAACATAAGAATAACATGAAATAACATAATTCCATTAGATAAGTTAACCATCCGACTTTATTGGGTTCGGTTTCAAATAATTTTTCTCTCTCTAATTTTGTCTAATTTTATTAAAACTAACCCATAAAGATATAATTACTTCAGTTTTACGAAATCTTTAAAAAAATGAAACTGAATAATAATGTATGAAAAAACAACTACCAAAACAAAAATAATTTTGAAAGAAAACAAGGTTGACCCATAAATAATAATAATAAAAACATGAAAGAGAGATGAGTTTATATGATCTTTTTAAAAAATAAAATATTAAACATCTTTTTTATTTATTCTTCATGCAACATCTATATAGAAAAAAGCCTATTGCTGTTGTTAACAAAATATTGCTTTTTTAAAGAGTATTATTATTGATGGGCCCACACACATACATCGTCTGCTCAAGCGAACAAATTTCTCCTCTTAATATTGAATGTTGAGTGAGGAGTATCGCGTTCAATTATATCCCAATATCATCTCTGAATAACTTTAACTTTCTGAACCAACCCATCAAGCTCTGCCGTTCGTTATTTTATTGGCAGGTTTTCAACTTTCTTCTCCCAGTTCTCTTCCTCATTATCAAATTTTTGATTCAGTTTTTTTTTGTAATTATTTGCTGATAATCCAAATTAATTAAGTTTGTTAGCAAAACCGTCAATTTTTTGATAGAAAACAATAAATTATAACTTTCAATTGTTTTTTTTGCGTTAGCAGCCGTAAGATTCAAATTGCAGAAATGAATGAGCAAAACTTTGTGTACCTCTTGAATTTATGAAGCAGTAGAAAATAAATTAGTGAAAAAGAATTATCATAGCATAGGGATGGAATTGTAACAGATCTTGGTTGAGTTTTTTATAAGTGTCATGTCTTGTTTTGTTGGTTTGTTGAGTAAAAAATATAAAAATTAGATAATCTCATTGGCAACTTTTTATATAATTGTTAAAAATTTAATAAACAAACAAAATGAATGCGTGAATGAATGAATAACCGGATAAAAAAATAATTAAAAAATGAATAAATAAATAAACAAACAAACAAAAACAAACGAACGAACAAACAAATAAATGCCTTACCCAATTCACGTCACCTGCCAAAAAAACAAATTCGCTGACATCAATAAAACTCATGATGAAGAACGGCAGCTACAAATCTCCAACAAAAACACTAACATAACCACATCTGCAAAACATAAACAACAACAAAAACAACAACAACAACAACCATAACATCAACAACAACAACAACCATAACTTCAACAACAAGAACGACCATAACATCAACAACAACAGCCATAACATCAACAATAACAATCTCGTTGATAGTATGTTTCAAAAGTAAACAATGTTTTTCAGCATTAACATTATAGCGATTAGAAAAAAAAATTAAGAATATTTTCCTTAAGGATGATAATAAATAAGAAATTTATTAGAAGATAAATCTGGATATGTACAATGGCCATTCATGAGTGGAATGTATTAATATTACTTTCACTTGCGATGAATTTATTTTTTTATTACTAATTTTATAAAATATGTGAAATTTAATTTGATGTATTTCCGAAACATAGATGAGAAGTTGAAACAAGTCAAGACATCTGGCCTTGACTGATGTGCGACTAAATTCTGTTTGGTCGAATATTGTTTTAAATAAACAAAAATTGAATAAAATTTTCAAACATCGATCCATTGAAGCAATTGCACCCAATCAATCAACTCAGAACGTTTGAAGGATGGGCCATAAATACATCACCATGTCATCATATTTCGAATTTATAATCTCATGACGTCATTATTATGTTCGCATCACCATAACACCCACCATAACCACATGACATTTAAAGTACGTCATCGTGACATTATGACGCTGCATGCCATCATTATGTGATGTAAGGTACCAAAGAATCAGCATAGCACTAAACATCCTCATACTCATCTCAAACGTTTTTATGATTCACGCCACCTCAAAAACTTTTATAAACTCACCATTATATATGACGTCATTATAAAATCTGACATAATCAATTTATTCAAAATGGTCGGATGCAACAAGGCACCATTGAGCCAAAACGATATCATCCGAAACATAAGTCACTTCGAAGAAAATTTACAATGTTGTATATAATGAAATTGTATCAGCTTCATCAACTCAAAAACAACAACTACAACAACTACAGCATCTACTGCAATATCTACAACAACAAACACCAGACAAAAGCCAAAAACTCACCAAATTCAATTACTTAAGACAACGATCAACCACATCCAGAAAAAAAATAATTCACGACTGAACAGTCTCAAGTTTACAATATTCAGCAATTTTAATTCACAAGTCGAATATTTACACGAGCGAGTTTATGGTCACGCCATGTGTTTATGTGTCTTTGTTTGTATGTGTCTGTTTGTGTTTGTTTGTTTTTTTTTGTGTGTGTTTTTTGTGGGTGTGTTTGTGTGTGTGTGTGTTTGTTTGTGTGTGTATGTTTGTTTGTTTATGTGGATGTGTTCGTAGTAATAACTATAATTTTGTAATTCATCAAGCTGCTGCTGAAAAATTTCTAAATTTCCAGAAAAATATGATGAAAGTTAGGGTTCTCGGATTAATTTGTCTTGAAAATGGAATACTTGCCTTCCTGAATGCGTCAATGTATTGCAAGTTCATCGCCTGTTGATGTCTTCGGCTCAGTTCTCTGCTTCCTTATTGAACAATTAAATTATTAACACAACTGTCTACATTAGTATTGTTTCATTTTTCTAAATAGAAACATATTTTTCACAACAACTTTTTGAAATATGACAAGGGAAGATTAAATGGCCGCTTGTCCAGCATATTCTATGAACATCTCAAAAATACTATGCAAACAGTGTTTGTCATATATAAATATATAATTTGAGAAAAAAAACATTGAACAAGATTTGTACGCGATTTCCACTCATAAATTATATTTTATGCCAATAATAACAATGAAAGGTTATAAGTTTATAACACTCTTCTAAAAGGCAGAGCTCTCATCAGCACACAAACAGCGTGTGTGAGTACGTGTTAAACGATGCGTTAGGCACAAATCGGGTGATAGATTGAGATCTCTTTTTCGTAGCGGCCACTGTACGCCCTGCAAGGTAGAATTAGGTGCCTTTAATCATCAGGCACACAAATAAAAAACAGTTTAAATATGGCAATATTTTCGTAACAACCTTACCAACACATTTCATTATAGTCCATTCACCTCAACAAACCAACGTTAAAAACCAAATTCAACATTTTCTCAAACAACAACATTAAACGCAGTAGGGGTATTTTATGTGATGTATTTTTATCATAAAAAGAGAAACAACAACAACACAACAACAACAGTTGCAATGCTCCCAGCCTCCTCGTGGCGAAACTGTGGACCGAGAGGCCTCGAATGGGAACAAACCGCTCAGAGAGCGATTACGACTACAGTGGCAGCAGCAACAACAACATCACGTTAAAAACAAAAAAAAACAACATCTCAGCAAAAAACAAAAACAAAAGCAACACAAAAACATCAACTGAAAATGTAAGAGCAAATGTGTCAATAACGAAATAATGTTGAAAACAAAAGTCACGGCAACTATCCCTCGACTAGATATGCATAAATTATAATTTGTTACAAAACATCAACTCTTCATTTTCCAACTAATCGTGTTTGTTCCTTCGTGTAAGCATTTTTCTTTGTTAGTGTTTGCTCAACTGTTTGTTTGTGTGGTCGTTTGTTTGTTTTCATTTTTGTATTTATTTTTGTTTATTTGTTTGTTTATTTTTATTTATAAAAGCGTAGAAGCGAGGATTAGTTTAAAAATTCACGAACCGACATCATTCATGTGCAAATATCAAAACGCACTTGTTAATTTTTATTAATAAAATTTTTTAAAACATTTTTATATGATTTGTTTAACACAGAAACTGCAACTCAAACGTTTTTTGGTGAACGAAAAACATTTTTAACATTTATTATAACAGAAATTGGAGGTGAACTTGAACGACCAAAAATATTGTTCAACAGTTTAAATAATGAATAAGATAGGTAGATGTACGTACGGGTTTTAATTCTTTTTTTGAATATAACAGTTCTAAACGCCACACAAACCCGCAGACTCTAACAATGAGACTATTTACGTCACTACCTTTATTATTGAATTATTAACAAATTGAATGAATTACTAAAATTATTACAAAAATATTGTTGAATATTGAAAAAGTTCCGATTCAAAACAATGAAGATAAATATCATTTATCATTTAATAAACAGCCATGCAATTTGAAAAGACCCATTTCTTTGTGCAAATTTTTCTGAAAATTCAAAAAACGATTGAAGATGACGATTTGAACAAGACAGGTAGGTGCCAATGAAAATTGTGGAAGTATCATATAATGCTCTCTCATAAAACATAATGCGCGTTTCGTTTGCGCCAAAAATTTCAAAAATAAGTAAGCGTTCAAGTGATTTAAAAAATAAATATTTTGTTACGTCTGCAGCCCGCAAACAAATATACATCCATAATTTTATTTTCAGTCTATCAAACAGTTGCCACAAATGAAAAGTTCCTCTGTTTATATTGCTTGTGATCAACTAGGTGAAATGAAACATGAAGAGAAGCAGGGCAGAGCGCAGACTTTCTGGAATTTAAAAACCCTTCAACAACTGCAGGAAATTAAGTAAATAAATTAACGCTGAAACTACAATACAAATTTTTGTAATTATTTTTGAAAATTGTGTGATTCACCGGTGCCACCAAACAAATGCTGCTTCAGTGAGAGTGAATGCTCGTTCTCGAGGCCAGGGAGCAAGTTGATGCATGAATGTTTTGTATTTCGAGGCGGTCTACACTTCTTTAATGAAGAAAAAATTTGCATCGTGCCGGTCAATGGAGGTTGGTGGCCTCATATATTGATAACTTGCATTCTACAGGACGCCCGCCGTAAAACTACTTTGCGTGTATGTATTATAAAAATAAAAGAGAGAAAAAGTTTGAATTATCGATCGAATTATTTGTGAGCATGCGACCGAACAAATGCAATTTTATGAGCAATCTGATAAACAATGTTTCAGCTCTTTACAATAAGATGAGAGGAAATAAATGAGGAATATTTCAGGTTCAGTTGGTTAGTACGAGGTTAGGCACACGAACATGTCATTTCGCAAATTCTGTCAAACGTTTTTTGAATTGCCTTATCAAATATGTGAACAAGAATTTGGTTGAACAGCCTAGATACAAAACATGCTTCAAACATTGACATAAACTTTGTTAATATACACACACAGACAGATACAAAGACCCAGACACAAACGAACCACACACACACAAATATGTTTATTTACATTTTTATTTATTTGATGAAAACATCGAAGAGAGCTTCATCGAAATCAGATTCATGTATCTAACACCAAGTGAATTACTGAAAAGAGGAGAGAGAATAGTTGAAGAACTTGTAATCCCAATGTGTTCTATAATGTGATAATGTGTACAAAATGTACTGATCTGTGCCTCGCTGAAACAAAAATATTAGCCAACGGTGTCATACAATGGCTTTACAGCCCGATTGAGAAAACCTTAATTTTTTGAACTGGAGGCAAAATGTAAGAAAACTTGTCGAAAATTCAACAAATTAATTAAAAAGAGTAAATGACAATGTGGATGGAGCTGACCAGTGAAGTGGAACTGTTTATTTTACAGCATGTAATAGCCAAATCTGTTTTTTACGAAGTTTTTGCAAAACAATACCGTTTTTAAGCACTTGTTAATAAGTGCCACTGCATTTTCAGCGTTAATGATTTTGAAATTTAATTTCTGTGTTATATATATATATATATATAAGAGTTTTGATTATAATCTAGGATTTAAACAAACAAATGTGTTGCTTCTGAAAACAAAGATTTTATTTTGTTAAATGTTAAAAAAAATCATTAATGAAGAAAAAAAACTCACCTGAAAACAAAGAAACGACATTTAAAGTTTATTATTTCACAAATTATAATCAGTTTGTCACAAAATATATTTAATTAAACTTTACTTTTAACCTATCAACAAAAAACAAAAAGACAAAAAATTCGCAGTGTATTATTAATCGCGCAAAGCGCGACAAAATCAAAATTAAAGAAATATAGTTTCTTTACATATATATATATATATATATGCATATTTCATTAAACGCGATGCTTATATTATTGTTATTTAATTTTTTATTAAGATTTTCTATTTTTCTTATTAGTTTGTTATAATTATAATTTAAATTAAAAATTAGAACACCAATATTCATTATATAATTATTTATTAAGCGACGTTTCGAATTTTATAATTCATCTTCAGGCAATTTAATATTACTTCAAATAAAACATAACAATAAACAGTCAGATGACGTAATAAGAGTTGAGCGCGAAAGTAACGTAACGATTAAAGTTAAATAACGTAAGTAGTTAAATTAAGTATAATAAACAATTATTTTGTAATATAACATAATAAAATATATTATATGTGCAATATCATGTTAATAATAAATTAAACATTTCGTGATGAAGGTAAAATAAAATTGGAATAAATTTGTTTGTTCAAATTAGGTTTATAAATATTAATAAATAGGGATTCTAAAATTTGTAGTCTGTTAAAATTAGTGTCTTTCATTAATATTTTAGTATTATCTTCTAATATTTTGCGGGATAATTGCCGGTTGTGGCAGTCATGGTAGTGTTGATTTGGAGCTCCGATTTTCAAATGGCAGGTTAAACGGCGTGTCAGTTTTGTGGTAGTCATTCCAATATAAGAAGATGGACGAAGCCTACAGTCTTCGTGAGGACATAGAAATTGGTAGATGACGTGGGAGTGCTGTGTTGTTGCTAGTTTAACGTTGGGACTATTTTTTATTCCAAATTTATTCCAATTTTATTTTACCCTCATCACGAAATGTTTAATTTATTATTATTATTATTAACATAATATTGCACATATAATATATTTTATTATGTTATATTCCAAAATAATTGTTTATTATACTTAATTTAACTACTTACATTATTTAACTTTAATCGTTACGATACTTTCGCGCTCAACTCTTATTACGTCATCTGACTGTTTATTGTTATGTTTTATTTGAAGTAATATTAAATTGCCTGAAGATGAATTATAAAATTCGAAACGTCGCTTAATAAATAATTATATAATGAATATTGGTGTTCTAATTTTTAATTTAAATTATAATTATAACAAACTAATAAGAAAAATAGAAAATCTTAATAAAAAATTAAATAACAATAATATAAGCATCGCGTTTAATGAAATATGCTTAAATGAAAATTTGTTACCGAAATTTACTGATATATATATATATACATTTGTATGTGTGTGTGTGTGTGTGTGTGTGTGTGTGTGTGTGTGTGTGGTGCGACTTATTTTTTGAAATTTAAAAACCTCGGAGAATAATGAATTATCATTTAATATGCTAAGTGAGACGACACTTGATTGTGCAGAACAATGCAGGTAGGTGATATGTGGGCAAAAAATGCTGCTTCTTGAAATGAATTTATGGGGCAGACTTAAGAGGGAAAGAGAAAGAAATAAAAAAAAGGCAGAAAGTGAGATGAAAGATAAATTTACATTATTGAGTATCAATATAATCACCGAGAGTAACATAGTAATACATTTGTTTTGAAACAACAACAACAGCAGCATTGTTTTTCTCAAAATAAACAAGAAGTTTTGTTATAAAATTGGTTCATTATAAATAAGTTTATTAAATTGTTTCAAAGTAATTCTTTTTTGAAAATTTATAAAAATTTTAATTTATTCACGTCGAGAAAATATTTATTTGAACAATAAACAGTTTTAGAGGTATAAAAAACTTATCATAAAATCTAGAAAGATATTAAGCCGAGAAACGATCGCATCTCAAAGTTTTCAATTTTATGTGTTGCATGCAATCCATTTTTCTTCATCTAACTTACGGCTTGTCTTTTTAGCTGTCTGTGTCTGTTCATAACTCTGTATTTGTCAACCATTTGTCTTTTTCCACCAGTCTGTTTTGTCTATCCATCCATCTGTTTGCCTGTTTGTATAGTTTGTCTATGTCTACCTGTTTGTTTTTTTGCTTGTCTGGTTTGTTGTTGTCTACTTGTCTGTGTCTATTAGCCAGTCTGTATCTGACTACCCATTTTTCTGTATCCATCGGTCTAATTCTGTCTACTTATTAGACTGTCTACCAGTTCGTCTACTATAGCAGCTTGTTTTTCCACTTCATATTTTCTGTCTGTCTGCATATGCGTACGTCCTACAAGACTTAATAACTAACGTTCAACTTAATTCGTCGCCTTCAAAAATTTTAAGAGCGGTAGGAAGAGATGCAAGCAGAGAGCTGTAATGTGCACGTGAAGCTTTATTAGCTAGGTTAATTAGGTGGGATGTGACTGCTGGGAACATTCGGATTGTTGCACTAATTTTTATTCACTTTGTTATCCGTGCTGTTCATGATAATTTTCATTTTCCAGGCAAATGTTGTTTTTGGTTTATTTATCATTGTTACTGTTGTTTTATTGTTATGATGCCAATTATCTTTGTTCTTGTCCATTGTAGCTTGGCGTGATATTTTATTTATGCACCAGCAAACAAAAAGCGGTTGAAGGGCAACAGGATGATGAGATGTTAACGAAACGGAGTGACAAATATAACGATGATGATGATAGCAACATGAAGAAAGCGAGGGAGAGTACGGCTGAACACAGATGGGATGCTATCAGATCCACCCACTGTTCCATGGATTTCACTCACTGAAGTTGTTTTGCGTTCTTGCATCCTTCCATCCACACATGATGGCAAAGTCTGCAGATTGAAATTTTTTTAAGTAAAAATAAACTGCCTAAGCTTTTTGTTGGTGATCAATTTATTTTTAATAAACTGAGAACAATGAAAACATTTAAAATTTTTAAATTAATTTCATCGACAAATTGTAGCTTCCAACGATCGTCAAGAGTTCGTTTGTCCGTAGGTTCAAAATTTTTGATAGATGATCACAACTGCTTCAAACGCAACCTTTGGTTGAACGTTTGTTTGAATACCAGCAGTAATAGAAACAATAAACAAATCCAAATAACTGCATAAATCACATTTATGACTTCGCTTTCTCTGCTCGAAATCTGACTTGTTAACCCCGACTGCTGAACCTAACAACGATTTTACAACCAAAAGATTACAAATATTGCAAAGGTACCATTAGTAAATAACGCAGCGCACTTCGACCATTCCCGCGGTTATAACAATATTTTACATGCCTGTACGTCAGGAATGCTCTGCTATGTTATGAAGAACGCTAGAGGGGTAAGAATGTTCTGCTATCTCAATAGCAGCTTTCTGATATCCAAATGATATTTTACTTTTTAATATTTTAGTTTAGTTTTTTTTTTATTTGAATAATATAAATGTTGTCATTTTAGTTGGCCAGAAAATCCTTTTTGAATACTCGTAGGTACATGTGCAGCTTTGTTGTCAGTTTGTGCTTTAAAACCTGCTTTGAAAGTCTGCTCAAAACTCGTAATGATACAAATGCAATGATAGAAATGCAATGATACAAATTTGAAATGTTGAACATAAGTATACATCCACCTACAACGTCATCTCTTTTTTATTAATTAGAATCTAAAAAAAAACAAGCATTTTTAATGTAGTTTTTTCAGGAAATTTCAGCAAAAAACACATAAATCGGAAATAAAAATAAAATTTTTGACTCATTTTGCAATTTTGGCGTGAAATTAGGCATTTCGAAATAGCTGTAGTAAGAAAATGGTTTGGTCTTTAATCTGCTCACTGTAGAAAGCATTAGCTACGTTGCATATAGACAAAAATAGTTATTTAGAACATTTGAGAATTAAATGACTTCCAAAATTACATTAAGTAATGTTTTAATGTTTGTCTTTTTAATTCCTACACTCTTATCACGATTTTGTTTCTAATTGTTTTTATGTCTTATCCACCAGAGAATTCTTATTTCCCTTAATAAAAAATAATCTTCTAAGTGAATTTAAAAACAATTTTTTTATCCACACTTAAAAGTTTTTAGAAAATGTTAAAAATTTAATTCATAGTTCCACGGAGTTAAACCTCAAAATTTTATCGCTTAATTAGTTTGTCGATACGGAGGACTTAATTGCATAAAATTTTAATGCTTCAGTAGTTCAGAACTTCTGACAAGAAATTCAAGAAAAAAGTGCGAGGAAACCTGCTCAGTGCTCACTTGCGTAATATAATTTTTGAGCTGCTTATTTTGATTCTGTTTGAAATTGTGTTTTTATAAAAGTGGTAATAAGTAACATTTCATTTCATACTACGTACGCGTCAAAATTTGAAGTCAAAAATTTACTTTCATAATCTGCAAGGCAAATAGATATATAACAAGTTAAAGGGTTACTTTTACTTTCAAATGCAGCTGTGTATTGATACAACGACTTGGGATAATGATATACACTTTCGGGTGAAGGAACGACAAAAATTAAATTTGAGCATGTCGGTAAGCACAACTTTAAAGAACAATTGCTAAAACAATTTGGCAAATCATTCAAATGATTTTTGTTGACAACAAATTAAACGAACTAGAATCTTTTATAAAGTTGAAAATGGACAAGGCATATTTGAATCATCGAAACTTTTTCTTTCTTTTCTCACTGTTAAATGTGAATTATGACGTGCAATGGGTGGATGTAGCTGATGGAAGCAGCTGATATATTAACACGCCTCAGCAACGAGACAACATGCCTCTGCAGTGAGACAACACGCATCTGCAGTGAGACAACACGCATCTGCAGTGAGACAACACGCATCTGCAGTGAGACAACACGCATCTGCAGTGAGACAACACGCATCTGCAGTGAGACAACACGCACCTGCAGTGAGACAACACGCATCTGCAATGAGACAACACGCATCTGCAGTGAGACAACATGCATCTGTAGTATTGACTCAACCGCCGACCAGATTGCCTCATGTCTTGCGTTACATAGAGGATCGAAACAGATTTTCTCATCAGCGTCGTGACGCGTTTTTATTTTTAGCCAGCATGCACCTATTTTGTTGCATGTTGTATTTTTGTTGCATAGAAAGAGTGCTGTTGAGTTTATGTGCTTGTCTGCTTGAGGGGGTGGAAGTGATAGGAATACGCGAAAATAACTGCAGATGATTATTAAGTAGAGCACGATCGCCGATAAATCGTGCTGCCGAAATTGCCGCAGTCTTGTACATAAAAGACGTGATCATTCATCAACAAACAGACCAAATTAGTACTGCAATGTTGTGAACCTGTTGAATGAATTCAATAAAACGTGCTTAAAAGCTATCATATACGCTGGCATCAGGTATATAACTCTTATGTGGCCTGCGTGGTGGTGGCTCAATAGTTAACTCAATAGTTAGTCGTGGTCATTTCGCTGGT